TCAAATCATGCGCCTGAGAATTGATTATGGACAATTCATGGTTAATTGTATGCAAATTAAAACCTCGACAGGATAATGAAACGGAGGTGATAGAGTTAACGAGACATGACGAACGTGTCAGACAGCGTCGATGTTTACACGGGTAACCCATTCAAGGCTGAGGACACCTAAGGGAGGCCCAGAACCGGTCCCAATTATAACGATAACAAAGATCGCCCGTATAGCCTGAACAGACTGTTGGGGCAAGTGCTGTTAGCGAGCACCTATGAAGGCCGGCACGGCACACGAGGAGGTGGGTGGCCAGCACCACGCCCGGCCACCTTTGTTTCCCCATTTGCGACGTTTTACACACCACACCAGGTACTCATTTGAGGCTGAGTCAACCTAGGGGAGGCCCAGGACCGGTTGAGATAATCGTCACCTGGTGTTGGTGGCCTTGAACGGGAATCGAACTTGGGTCGCCGGGTTCGTAGCGCTGCGCGCGCTAGCCCCACTACGCACAACTCACTCATTCCATTCGCAACAACACTAACCCTAAGCTCGCTCCCAACACAGCCACCACCACCGCCACCACCGCGACCACCACCATTTACAACGGGTCCAACTTCATCAACGCGACGTGACCGCCCTGTAAACAGCCATTAAGGCGACTTGTTTTTTTTGTTTGTTGTTGTATCAATAGCGAGTAATTAAAGTGTCAGCGTTTAATGCTGGCGCCGCGCAGACCCATCTCGCCGCGGCCGCTGCGTGCGATCGAAATCTTATTTTGGGGCCGTCACTCACGTGCTGCGGCAGCCAATCAGAGCGCGGCGTTGGGCGCAACGGTGAGTAAGTTGTTTGGTGGAGATGGGGGTTGTGGAGTGGAGGGTTGGGGGGGTTGGGGGGTGGAGGGTTTGGGTAGTGGGGGGGTTTGGGCCAGGCGGGGGAGGGACGCTGAGTTGATGACGCGGCGAGTGCGCGCGCGTGCGTTCCCGATGTTCAGCGGTGTCGGATTCAGCTAGTTGCGGGGCCTGCAGCATATGTTGTTATAAAGGGGACCTAAATTGAAAAAAAAACACGTAAATATTAAAACACGTACATTTTGATTACTTGTATAGTAATGTAATTGTATTTTTTTTCATTTGCTGTACGGCCAGATAATGCGATCAATCGCGAACCTTAAACACCCAGTCGTTCATAAAAGTTGAAGGCGGTATAGTACTATAGTGATAGAGCAAGTGCAGAATCACTGAACCGGAATTGACAGCTTGAAAGCATTTAGCGCGGGGCCCTTGAAAGTGCGGGGCCCGTAGCTGCTACATATGTAGCTACATGTGTAGTAGCTACGACATATGTAGTAGCTACTTTTGCTACGAGGACAATCCGGCACTTATGTTGAGTGACGAATATCTGAACTGGTGCTGCTCCTCCCACCTTATTGTCGACTCAGCCACAGATGATGACCTGCTGCGGTGTGCAAACATCAGCGCTGGGGAGGCGAAGGAGGCCGTGCGTGGTTTGCTGGTCACACACTACCCCCACTCGTGCGCCGTACGGACTTCAATAGGTGCTCACTAACAGCACATGCCTTCCGTGGCTATCTGGGACCGTTTTTGCCTTTGTTACACGAGTGGTCGGAGCGAACGCGTTTTGTTTAAATCCACGCCGTGCGATTCCCTTGTTGAGGCTTTCCTGTGGTGTGGAAGACTCAAACAGAATAATTCACCTTATACGGCTATGGTTATAAGGTTTTGAGTCGAAGGCCTCTTGGACGCCCGAGACGACATCCAACACCGCTGAGTTGAAGGGATGAACACGCGAGAGGCCTGGTACTGAGTAGTCAGGATCAGAATATTTATTTATTTCTACTTGGAGGAATCCAATGAGCGAGAAAGCTCCTTTTTCCACGTGTAGATTCAGGTCTCCCCACGCCGTCGTCATCCCTCACGGCCGCGCGATGCCACGCTCCATCGAGCCCTGTCGCACACGCGAGTCCACCTCATCCGCCACGCCATCTCCGCGCGTCCTCTCGTCCTCTCGTACGCGTTCGCTCCCTCCTCCGGCTGCCATTCCGTCGCAGGTCTCGACCATAACCCCGTTTTAGCGATGCGCCCTATACACACGCCCATTTCATCTGCTTAACGGCCACTATAGGACACAAACACACACATATATATGCATAGACAGTGCATTACATATACAACTGATCCCTCAGCGGGCTTCGACCTGCTCTTTATCAGCTTTAGCGTCACACTCTACGGCGGCAAATGACCTCGTAACACGTGGAAACGTTGGGCCAACGTGGGGCAAACGTCGAGCCAACGTTAGACCGACGGGTTCCAACCGCGTGCCAACGTGCGCCCAACGTTGACGTGTGTGCACTGGCTACTTAGTTACGCATTGAGCACGCGGCCAAAGGCAGTGGGAGACCTCTACGTTGACCCCCGCCCATGAAGGGAACCATTAAACCTCCGGGTCACGCTTCTTGGAGATCGAAATTGACAATTTCCCAATCGTCATAGTTGGATTTTTTTGGGTTTTGCCAAAATTCAATAGCGGATTGGCTGGCAACGGGTTGTCAGTTATATTATTATAAGAATAATGATCATATTTCATTGAGAATCAGGCCGAGTGTGATCATTGTTTTACGTGAGCAATGCATATTCCTGCTGCATGTCTGTAGTTCCGTATCATTCCGGACTATAAGACCCCCCCCCCCCACCCCCACCTTACCTTCAAGCAAAGGTTTAGGGGGTGCGTCTTATAATCCGGTATTTGTGTGTGCGCGCGCGTGCGATGAGATTTGTTTAACTGTATTGACACCGGGCACAAGAAGCGACGAAATGCGTTCGTGCCCCTACTGCGTGACCCCAGCATTGATGACTTGTGACGCGAGGCGGACCTGTGTTATAGGGGGGGGTCGGTGTTTGTTTGTTTGTCGTTCCTCGTCTCATTTTGTGTATAGTTTTGCCCCCTGTGCGGTTTTTAGTTTGCTCACCGGCAGAATCGCATCGTCCGTCAGTCAGCTCGACGAGTCCACGCGCCATACGCGCCGAAGAGTCACGCGCGCGCGATTCGACAGCCTTAATGGTAATCGGTTTAATTGATTAATCGATTATGCATCGTGACACTTGACAGCTGTTGGAAAGTCAAAAGAATGATTCGGCGACACTGCCGCGATGGCGGTGGATGCACGAGAACAATAAAAAACACGTGCTAAATAAACATGTTCGTCAAAAACAACAACAACAACAACAACGTGGCCTTACAAAAGGGAAAGCAAATATATCACGGACTGCACCTCCACGCTCCCACGACGGCCGCGTTCTCCAACTGGCGCTGTACCAACGTGGTGAAGTATGGTCAGATCAGCCCCCCTCCCCCCACACTTCGTGACCGATGCGGTATGAAGAGACATTCATCCAGCGGTGTGTTGCCACACTGCAGCGACTTCATGATTACATGTATATTTGAAAGATTGTTTTGTATGTGCTCATGAATCTTATACATTAGGATATCTCTCAGCATTTGACCCTATATGTTTTTTTGTTTGTTTAATTCGTCTACTCGCCGCTGAATTCCAACTTTTCGAAAGAGGCGTGTGGTCTTTCCTTTTTTTCCGTTTGAATAATACAGGTGTAGTGATTGAATGAATTCTAGGGAACCAGGCGTACGAATGTCCTTGGTTTAAGACAATGGGTGGGGAGAAATCTACGATCCGCTGCCTCGCCACAAGCCCGCGACTTCATTGTATCAAGGACCATGGTCCCACGTGCGGTGGTGCCACTTGAAACCGGCCCGCAAACGATATCGCAAACATTTCAGGCGCACGAATCGGGCACCGCAAGGACACTTTGTTCTGAACCGGTCAGTTACGTCCGCCACCGCTAAGGCCTCTTCGTGCTCCGTCGACACGCGCACGTTACCTTGCGCGTAATTGTGAGACAACGCTAAGGGCTGTATTCTTGTGGAGACTCATACATGAGCCGATAATACCTTTGTATATATAGAGAGAGCGAGAGAGCGAGAGAGCGAGAGAGGACCCCAGAGCTTTGAGAGGGCGTCATTTGTCGCTGGTTCGCCACGTGGCTGCGGCCTCGCTGCTTGTCTGTGGTTCATTCCTCGCGCCCGTGGCCGTGGTGCTGGCCACCCACCGCCTCGTGCAACCGTTCCGGCCTTCATGGGTGCTCGCTAACAGCACTTGCCCCCACAGTCGGTGAAGGCTACACGGGGGATCGTTGTATTTGTACGTGACTGAGGAGCGGTGCAGGTGTAGCGGTTCGCGCGCTGCGTTACGAACCCGGCGACCCGAGTTCGTTTCCTGCTCACGGCCAACACCGGTAACGATTATCTGAACCGGCCCTGGGCCTCCCCTAGGTCGACTTAGCCTCAAATGAGTACCTGGTGTGATGTGTGAACATCTCCACTGGGGAGAAAAAGGCGGCCGGGCGTGATGTTGGCCACCCACCCCCTCGTGTGCTGTGCCGGTGCTCACGAACAGCCCTGTAAAGGCTACATGGGGGATCTTTGTCTCTGGCGTGACTGTGTGTGTGTGTGGCCGTCTGTGCGCGTGTGTGATGGCGGGGTCAGGGTGGAGCGAATGCTGGACAGGGGTGGCGACGGGGGCAAGGGCGGGAGGAGGGGGTGGTGGAGGTGGGGACTCGCAAGGGGATAGACCCCCACGCACACGGATCGATAGGGGAAGCCATGCCGACCCTAAAAGTAATTTATTGGGGTCACACTTTTATGGGGTGTCCGGCACAGCGGTTAAATGAAGTGCGTTCCAGGGTTTTTTTTGTGTCCAAAAGCAGCTTTTATTAAACTTCCCGTGAACGAGGCCGCGCGCCTCTGTGATTTATGTCTCAATCTACGAGTCTGAGCGTCGCGTGGGGCCGCCCGGAGCGGAGCGACGGGGTCCTGAGGGGAGAGGGGGGGGGGTCCAGGGGCCGTGTAGCCCCCCCTACGGCCCCCACCCCCTCCACCCACCCCCCACCCACCCCCCACCCACCCCCCACCCCTACCCTACTCCCCCGCAGTTGCAATCGGGGTTCGTTCGTTCGTTCCCCATGACGTGCTTGGTACGGGTCTCTTCAAACCTGGCCACCTGCAAAGATCACAGGTAGTAGTTAGTTTACATGCCAAGCAGCCGAGGCGCTATTGAGTCACGTTGTCGTCGTCGTCCGTGTTATAAACACATTGAGTAGTTTTATTAACTGCCAATAATATGCGGCCCTTTGTCAAATCCACTGCTGGATTGAAGGTCTCCCCGCGCCGTGTTAGTCACGGGGGCTGTTTGACCATACTTCACCACATTGCGGGCTGGTGAGATGCAAGGCACCCGATCACGCGCCACTGATGCTGAGCTGCAGTGCGCCAACCACTGCGCCACCGCTCCTGTAAATCGCATCGCAATGAGTGAGCGTGCTGAACATTGTGGACCCCTTTCGTTTCTAAGGCGTAGCCACTTTTCACACTGGCTTGTTTACTTCCAAAAAGACGTGGGGGGTTGTTGTTGTTGTTTCTCATGAGTACGTACTGCTGGGGAATGTTAATTCAGGGAGAGGCTCACAGGATGATAGATTCCAACGTGACTTCATTTCCTCTCGGTGGTGAAACGCACGTGTCTCATTTTTTGACACAGTGCAGAGAGACAAAGATCCGGAACAGACTGTTGGCCCAACGTGCTATTAGCGAACACAATAATAAGGCCAACACGGCACACGAGGGGGTGGGTAACCAGCACCACGCCCGGCCGCCTTTGTCTCCCGAGTGACGATGTTTACATATCGCACCAGGTACTCGTTTGAGGCTGAGTCGACCTCGGGTCGCCAAGATCGTAGCGCAGACGCGCTAACTGCTGCACCACCGCTCCTCACACATCCACTAGCACACACGCACACTGAGATATCCCGTGCATGCAATCTTGAACAGACTCGGGATGAGCGAAGTTATCGGGTCCATATCCCGGCCGGGCGCCTTTGTGGAGTCTTTAACATGGCATCACCACCTTGCATCATTAATGCGCTGGGTCGGGAAGGAATTGAGGGGCGGTCCGGTGCGGCGGTGGGCGGCAGTGTCGGTAGAAGGGAGAGAGAGAAGTTCGGTACACATGAATGAAAGTGAGGCTGTTAATTCGAGAGATGAGAGAGATACAAAGGAAAGTGCTTGGAAATATGCGGGGCGAATGTGTAGCCCCCTGGCTAGATGTAACATCAAGTATATAAATATATAATAAAGGGGTTACGGGGTAAGTAGCAGGGGGAAAGAAGGGGGGGTGGGAGTAGGGTGGTGGGGGGGGCACATAACAAAAAATTGGGATTTTCTCAGAGCGTGCAGACTCGTGCATTGCTCAAAATAGGCGTAATGTTGTGGAACGTGGAACTAATGAAGTACATAATGCAATAGAAAGTTGAGTTGGGAGCGCGCGCAGCTGAGCTTGAGTTAATGGTTAAGATGCGGCGAGGGGGTGCGTGGAGAGGCTTGGGGAGGGTGGTGGTGGTGTGCGTGGAGGGAGAGGAGGAGGGGGGGGTGGTGACTAAACCCAGGGCGCTCAGCGTGCGTCCGCAGCCCGTTCGCTGTGCGGAGTCGCTGTCACCGGCGGCATTCGTAGGCATTTATTTATCGACTTAAACGAATCACGGCGCCTAAAATGCAACCGTTGATTTTGGGGTTGCTGCCCGCGTTGGCAGTCTTGGTGGTGGTGCACAAGCACGGCCAACGACAACCACAACAACAACAACAACAAACAAACTCAACCGCATTCGTCAACAACGCCGCCTTCAAATAAATACCGCGTGTATAAGAGGCAACGGGGTGGGTGGCAAAGTGCTATGATAGAGGGTCATTGCCCGAAACGTTGTGAAGGGAGTGCTCTTATCAATGACATCCGCTAAACCGGCACATCTGGCTCTGCTGATGAGTCTTAAAAGGGCGAATCCGATCCTTAGTTGTCCTCTATTTTTTTGAAACGTAAACGCAGGCAGCTGACGTTTCGATCGGATGGCCTCTTTGTTGTCGGGCGCGTCTGCCTGTGTGCGTATGGGTGCGTTACGGTGAACGGTGGCGCAGTGGTTTGCGAAACGCGCTGCCGACCCCGAGTTCCATTCCCGGCCACGGCTAACATCAGTGGCGACTCATATCTGAACCGGTCTTGCGCCTCCCCTGGGTCGACTCAACCTTAACTCAGTGCATACCTACGATGCGTTGTGTAAGCATCACGACTGTGGCTGGCAGGATGGGGCCGGACGTGGTTCCGACCACGCCACCGTTTCGGGCCTTAATAGGTGCTCGCTAACAGCACTCGCCACAACAGTCGACGTGGCGGAGGTAGGGAGGGGGTGGTGCACCTTTGCCTTTGAGCGTGAAGGTGGGTGTTTGTGTGGGCCTCCCCTAAGTCCACTCAGCCATCATCGTGACAACACCAGCGCTAGGTGGTTACAGTCACAAGGGCGGTTGAGCGCGTAGATCTGGCCGTGCCGTGCTGACCTTAAGAGGTGCTCGCTGACTACGCTCGTCCCAACAGCTCTTGAGGACATCAGTGGGGGTGGCGGGGGTGGAAGTGGGGGAGACGGTGTGGGAAGGTGGAGTGGGTGGGGGGGGGGGCTGTGTCGCGCGCGTGCGCGCGTCCGTGCGATGAACGAGTTAAGTTAGACAGCAATGAATGCGCAGGCGGGGGGGGGGTAGATTTGGAATTGATATCTCATCTCACATCTCACCCCCGCACGTGGACAAGATGAGGAGTAGGCGTCTCCTGTTCGCTCGTTCGTTCGCTCGCTCGCAGCATCTCGTGGCCACCGGCATTTCACTCATTCACAGCGTCTCCTCCAAATCACGTCCTGAGAACAAGTACCCCGACGGTGGGCGGGGTTACTCACAATATTTGACATCGACCGAATTCTCCGCATTTTAAGACGCATATTTTTCTAATTTTGTTTCTCCATTTATTTAAAAAAAGTGTTGCGGGTGCGTCTTAGAATTCGGTAGGCATGTGTGTGTGTGCGTGTGTGTGTGCGTGTGTGTGTGGAGAGCGGTGGTGTAGCGGTTAGCGCGCTGCGCTATGAACCTGGGAGACAAAAGTGGCCGGGCGTGGTGTTGGCCACCCACTCCCTCGTGTGCCGTGCCGGCCTTTATAGGTGCTCGCTAACAGCACTTGCCCCTACAGTCTGTTAAGAGAGAAAGAGGTCACTTTTTGTATAACCTCGCAAACATCTGGATCAAGCGTTGGGGTTCGTCTTACTTGCCAGAGCGTCTTATAAACCGAAGATTATAATCCGAAGATTATAATCCGGATATTATTCTGTAATGAGATGAACGATATTCCCGAACGAATACAAAGTGAGAGTTTTTTTTTTTTATTTCAGGCTCGTGTACCGGGCCTGGCCCGCTTTAGAGTGTTCGTGGGAACGCCGCAAATAGGCAGTGCTGTTAGCGAGCACCTATTAAAGTGATGGGGATGGGAAATGGTTTGGTGTGGGGTGGGGCAGGGGGCTGGTAGATCACGCCCGGTCCTCCTTTGTCTTTGGGCATTAACGACGACGATGATGATGTGCGCACGCGATTTATTTAAGGCCGAGCTTACCTAGGAGTAGGGCTCAAGACGGGTGGTTCGAATGTCACTCGCCATTGATGGTATCCGTGGCAGGGAATCGAATCTAGGTTTGCCGGGTTCACAGCGTATGTCTGGGTATACACAAGCGCGCGTGTGTGCGTGCATGTATACACGCACACATGCAAGTGTACACGATGTTTACTGCGCAATACTGTACTCTATATTTATGTGTGTACAGTATATATGCAGCGTTATCTTGTACTTTAGGTGCGCGCGATATCGATCTGCTGATATTTGAACCAAAAAATATTAAAGTATTTATTTTTTATTAAAATAACCTTACGAATGAGACAGCTGCTGTTGAAGAAATGTATTACATGCGCGTGATGTCGCACGTGCAACTTAAACCGCGTAGATATATAGATTGTCGCGAGAGTCGACTTGAAGCTGCTCGGTGTCCAATTGATACCAGCGTCTTTTTTGGCAAGGTAGCCCTTGTAGTTTAAAAAGAAATAACTTCTCGTTACAATTGCAAGAACGCGCAAATGTACATACATACAGCCACGGCGGCATGGTGTGTGCTGCATGAGATTGCGTGCATGTACGTGTGTCTGCGAGAGTGTGTGTGTGTATGCGCGTGTATGTGTCTATGTGCGTGTATGGTTTATGTGTATATTACGTGCAAGTACGTGTATCTGCGAGAGTGTGTGTGTGTGTATGCGCGTGTATGTGTCTATGTGCGTGCATGGTTTATGTGTATATTACGTGCATGTACGTGTGTCTGCGAGAGTGTGTGTGTGTGTGTGTTTGCGCGTGTATGTGTCTATGTGCGTGTATGGTTTATGTGTATATTACGTGCATGTACGTGTATCTGCGAGAGTGTGTGTGTGTATGCGCGTGTATGTGTCTATGTGCGTGTATGGTTTATGTGTATATTACGTGCATGTACGTGTATCTGCGAGAGTGTGTGTGTGTATGCGCGTGTATGTGTCTATGTGCGTGCATGGTTTATGTGTATATTACGTGCATGTACGTGTGTCTGCGAGAGTGTGTGTGTGTTTGCGCGTGTATGTGTCTATGTGCGTGCATGGTTTATGTGTATATTACGTGCATGTACGTGTGTCTGCGAGAGTGTGTATGCGCGTGTATGTGTCTATGTGCGTGCATGGTTTATGTGTATATTACGTGCATGTACGTGTATCTGCGAGAGTGTGTGTGTGTGTGTTTGCGCGTGTATGTGTCTATGTGCGTGCATGGTTTATGTGTATATTACGTGCATGCGTAGCGGTTGGTGTGCGCCTCTATGCATGGGTGGTATGCTTGTGGCTATGCACGTGCAATTATTTATACGCGTAAATGTGTCCGTACGTGCACATATGCGAGTGTTATGTGTGTGTGGGTGGACATGCGTGTACGTTGTCGCGGTGGTGGGGGAGCGGTCGTGCGGTGGTTTAGCGTGTGTCGAATATTTGAACCGGTCCTGGGCCTCCCCTAGATCCACTCAGCCTCAAATGAGTACCTGGTGCGTTGTGTAAACATCGCCACTCGGGAGACAAAGGCGGCCGGGCGTGGTGTTGGCCATCCACCCCCTCGTGCGGCGTGCTGGTTTTAATAGGTGCTCACTAACAGCACTTGCCCCGACAGTTTATGACAGGCTATACGGAGGATCTTTGTCTTTGTTGTGCGTTCATACACGCAATGCTTCATGCACTGCCTTACAATTCTATCTACACGGATACGTTCGATTCTCGGCTCGGATTCACATCATCGTTCGGAACAGAACACGAGTCCACGTGGCATCTGAACCCGTGCCGTTTCTCCCCGAAGCTCGACTCGCCCTTGCATGCAATTTGAAGCAGCTGGCGTCGCCTGTCAATGCATCTGGAAAGACAAAGGGGGCCGGGGGTGGTGTGGTTATGGCACCACCCGTCCCCCTCGACAGGAGAGCTAAATTTGAGCTGAAACAGGCCATGATGGTATTCCTGACTCTAAGTCAGACAGCAAGCCTAGCATGAGCGTTCCAGAAAGTATCGAACGAGAAATATAATCCTTGCTCGTCGGAGATGTATTGGTGTCACCTGTCAATACATCTGGGAAGACAAAGGCGGTCGGAGGTGGTGTCAGATAATCGTCACTGGTGTTGGTCGTGAGCGGGAATCGAACTTGGTTCGCCGGGTTCGTCGCGCGGCGCGGCACCACTGCTCCCTACACACACAGACACGCGCGCGTGCACACACGGGCACACACGGGCACACAAAGACAAAGATCCCCCGTATAGCCTTAACATACTATTGGGGCAAGTGTTGTTAGCGAGCACCTATGAAGGCTGGCACGGCACACGAGGGGGTGGGTGGCCAAAACCACGCCCGGCCGCCTTTGTCTCCCCAGTGGCGATGTTGTACACACCGCACCAGGTACTCACTTGAGGCTGATTAGACCTAGGGGAGGTCCAGGACCGGTTCAGATAATCGTCACTGGTGGTGTTGGTCGTGAGCGGGAATCGAACCCGGGTCACAGGGTTCATAGCGCAGCGTAGCGCTTACCGCTACACTACCGCTCCCCAACACGGGCACACACACACGGGCACACACACACACGGGCACACACACACACGGGCACACACACACACGGGCACACACACACGGGCACCAGGTGTTGGGGAAAGGAGAGGAGTCAGGGGATGGATGGAGGAGGGGGGGCTGTACATGGTGGGGAGAGGAGGGGGGGTAGATGGATGGAGGGGGGGTCTCTGATGGCGACTGCTCCAGGGCACAGGGCCTCTCGCCTCCCGCAGTCGCGTCCCTGGTAAATATTTAGCTTTTAATTCAGCTCGGCGCTAGCCCGCGGCGCTGCGCTCATTACAGCCGCTCAAAACATCAAGCACATCAAAGCAAATTTCCCGTAACAAAAAATAAAGCGCCGCTACTCGGGCGCACCTCGCCTTTCCTACCACCTACCCCTACATCTCCCACACTACCCTGCCACCTACCCCGCCACCTACCCCTACATCTCCCACACTACCCTGCCACCTACCCCTCCATCTCCCACACTACCCTGCCACCTACCCCTCCATCTCCCACACTACCTACCCCGCCACCTACCCCTCCATCTCCCACACTACCCACCTACCTACCTACCCCTCCATCTCCCACACTACCCTGCCACCTACCCCTCCATCTCCCACACTACCCACCTACCTACCACTCCATCTCCCACACTACCCCACCACCTACCCCGCCATCGTTCACTCGATAGCCTGCCCTCCGCATACCACACCACCTACCCGGCCACACGCACACTGCTGGGAGTGAGATTACGATCGAGCCTTCCAAAGAGATTGGCACAGGGAGTCACGCTGTTGGTATGCGTGCTCCCACCAACACGTCTGGCCAGCATGGATGAGTAGGCCTACGGACACTCTCGATCGAGTGGAACTCTCTCCAGCCGAGGCTCCTCTGCCGCCCGTGGCGTGAGCAGGAAATTGCAGGGCTGCGCCTTTAGATTCACCATCCAAAGCACGGAGAGTCGGGCGCGCGGTTGGGCTGGTCGAGCGTGTGTGGTTAATGATCGAAGCAAATCAGATTGACTTGATATATATTTTTTCAAAATACACTTGGTCGCATTGGGCGGAGGGCACATCACGGGAAGGGATTGTTAGCGATGGAATAGCAGCGGAAGGAAGAGGGCACAGCGCCCGAGGTGCAGCGATTTGACGATCAGTTCGCTCGCGCACGAGCGAGGTGAGGACCCGTGGCGTTTGCCTGACCGTCGTGAGCGGTGGGCGCAAACGGTGCCCGGGGGAGCCTTTTTGCTCCACAGCAGTGGGAAGATGATTACTCATTATTTTGATGATTATGATCGCGGTGATCTTCGTTTCGTACGGCTGGCGTAGATGGAGAGCAACAACTCCGAATTCACATTCACGCGGTCAAGCGCAGATAACCGCGTCGGCAGCAGCGGAGTGGTGTCGTGGTGGTGGTGGTGGTGGTCGTGGTGGTGGTGGTCGTGGTGGTGGTGGTGGTGGTAGTGGTCGTGGTGGTGGTGATGATGACGCCACGTGCGGGATGAAGCCATAAGATCAGCTCTTGCGCGTCGGCGATATGGATTGCGTCGTGGCGTCGCAGGACCTCGAGGGATGACGATGGCGTGGGGAGGCCTTCATCCAGCAGTGGATAGGTGATGGTTCATGGAAGATGATGATTGAGTAAATGTAATTCCCACTCACGATGGACACGATGGGGGTAGAAGACTGAATCTTGCGATGCGGAGATTTTCGTGCAGCCGATTAGCAATCTTTGGCTCGGCTCACGGGTTATGAATCAATCGGCGAGTGAATGAATGAGTGAATGAAAGAGTGAATGAATGTATAGAACGCTTTCATAATTGAAAGTGTGAATGAATGCAAGAGTGAATGAATGAGCGAACGAACGAAGGAAATAGTTTTTTTCAAATCGAAGAGAGAACGAGTGAATGTGGATGTGACTGAAAGACGGCGATTGAATAAATGTATGAATGAATGAATTAAGGAGTGAATGAATACATGACGGAGTGATGTATGTGCCTACCATTATTTGAAAGTACCAAAGGGACACCGAGACCTTGATTCAATGCAGATTCAATATTAGCATACATTTTGAAATGGAGATGAGAAGCGTCGTGTTAATATATGCGTTTATAATGTTAATAATTTTTACTTACCGCTCGTGTCGTACAATCCACGCGCTGCTGCTGGTGGTGATTAAAGCGGGCAAAAGCAGCATTGTATTTATGCGTAATTAATGAAACGCAATCACACATCTAGCGCTGTGCATAAATTACAATTAACGCATTACCACCATTTACACTACATTACCCGGCATGCAATTCATCATCTTTCCTTTTTTTTACTTACAACTTAGTGAAAGTCACGCGCTGCGGTTATCTTTATTCGTTATTTTGTTTTGATATCTAAACTTTAAAATACAATTATCGATTAAATTGAGACAGGCCGGGGAGGATTAGAAAATATACTCAGGTTAATGACGTCATTGAAACTATTCTTTGGTTCTTTCTGTAAAGTCACGTAGAATGAGAATAAAATAATAAATTAATGGAACAAATTACACAATAAAATTCTCACGACGTTTCGAAACTGATCTGCAAAGTACGGGGGGGGAGCTACAAGGGACGGTGATGTTCGATGGTTTAGGGTAATAACGGAGTGACAGCCAAGGAATTGAACGCGCCCAAGAGGTTGTTCGCCGAGGAGATGGAGCGATGACATAATTCCATGCGTGTGTGCTAATTATGATGCCGATGCTGCTGATGATTATTACTATGCTGCTGCTAATCTTCATCATGCTGCTGATGATGATGACTCTCGGCTCGGATGAGCCGAAAATCAAAGCGGTTAAGAAGACAGTTGCGTAACAAAGATCTGATCGTCTCAATCCTCCGCCCCAAGGTTCAACAATCGATCCCGTGTCTGCGTGCGGCACTCCGGGAAGGACAGACAGCGCGAGAGGGAGTGAGATCTACTGTAACGGTGCAACTCAACTCAGAGTCAATCGACTGACAGCGTCTCTGCTCTGTCGCTAACTCTGCTGTATTCAATTTACAGCGAGTGGAGATCAGCAGGAGGGGGTGAAGGTGGGCAGGTTGCGTTGTGGGAATGGATGCGGGGTGGAGGGGGAGAAGGGGAAAAGGAGGAGGGCGAGGGGGGTGGGGAGTTTAGAAAATTGAGAACGGAATACGCAGAATGGACGGGTGGAGCGGTGGGCGCAGTGGTGATCGCTCGACCCGCTCTGAGCTGGGTAGCCGAGCTCGATCCCAAGTGAGGGCTATCCTGGTGTTGCAGCGCGGTGGTGAATGGTCAAACAGCCTCCCATCACCGACACGACGTGAGGGAAGGAGAGGGGCGGGGGGGGGGGCTTCATCCAGCAGTGGATTGACAAAAGGCTTTGAGTTTTCATTGGTTATGATTGTTGTTCGAGCTTGGTGGAAAACAAATGTTAGCTGGAGGAAGGTGGGTGTGATGATGGTGATTGGGTGGGAGTTTTTGGATAAGTATGGGGAGGCAAGTTGTTGGCGAGGGGGCTGTAATATATTCTCTCAATACTTCCCCGACAGCGCTATACTTCATCACCCTCCCTCCTCGCCCCCCTCCCCCCTCTCCCCCTCCCTCCCCCCCTCGAGCCATCCCAACCTCGTTTCCTTTTTTTCCCCCTTCGCTTTAACTCCTCGAGGCCTTGACTCCACTCGCTCATCTATTACAGTTGTGGGAAATAGAATAATATTGTTGGGATCTGGGGGGGGGGGGCTGTGGTGGACGGTGGAGGAGGAAGAGGGAGGTGGTGAGGGAGAGAGTGGATGCAACCGAGACAAGGACAAAAATAAACCACAATCACATCTCCGGATAAGCTCCACATAGCCCGTTGGTTGGGGGCAGATGGTGCTAGCGAGCGCCTATTATTAAGATGAGGCGGAGGAGGTTGGTGTGATCGGCGTCACCACGTCCGCTCCGCCTTTGTCTCCTCCAGTAGCCGATGGTTTTATTTGAAAGATAAGTATATGTGTTGTCTTATGCAAACACCACACCTGGTGACGGTACTCATGTCGATGCCGAGTCGCTCTAATTCCGGGAAGGGTGCGGGAGGATCAGCAGAGGTCACTCGCCACTGAGACGGCTCGCCGTCGGGATGCGATGGGAATCAAAACTCAGCTCGCCGGTTTTCTTTTGCGCGGTGCGCTAACCACTGCGCCACCGCTCCCCGAGCGCGGCGCGAGCAGCCGAGGCCGCTTGTCCGCACTGACGCCCGACAGCCACCACGGCGAGAGGCGACGGTGACGCGAGGTGGCGAGAAGTTGAACGGCCACGCGCGAGGAGGGCGTCTGAGAGGTCTCGGCTGACCACTGCGCCACCGCCTCTCCCTCTCTCCTTTCCGTCCCCTCTCTCCGCACGCAGACAAAACACGGAGCAGCAGAGAGAGAGAGAGAGCGGGCGAGAGAGCGCGAGAGAGCGAGAGGTTCTTTGCCGTTTAAACGATGCAAGTTTTAAAAGGCGCCCTCTTTGATTGACTCAAGCGGTGCATTAAGACGGCGGAGGATGGCAGAGGTGTGCGGGCCTGCGCAACAAAGGAACCCGAATGAGCTTGCCGAGCGGCAGATGGGGCCTTTACCGATGCGGCCGCCGCCGCCGCCGCTGCTGCTGCACTCCCGCTCGAGCGATGCTCTCCACAATTTCACAACCCCCAACCCGTTTCCTCCTCCTCCCCCCCCCCCCCCGTTTCCTCCTCCCCTCCCTCCTATGTTCTCTTTAACCCCACACCCCACCGTCCCTCTGCCACGCCGTATTTACCATCAACACCATCTCCCAACAGCTACACTTACCCACAGCCCCCCCCCCCCACGTCCGCAGCGCTCCATCTCGTCCATAACATACCCTGGGCTTCCATCCCAACCATCCACCTACCCGGACCAACCAATCGAAATTCGGGAGTCCACGTCCGCCCCAACCCTCTCTTCCATCCTTCCAGCCACTCCCAACTAACGCAAGAGTAAAACAAACATGACAAGGCACGCGTTCAATCCACTACTCGATTAAAGGCAACTTCCCCCACTCTCCCCCATCACGCTGTGTCGGTAATGACGAGGTGGGGTGGCGGGTTGTTTGGCCATACTTCACCACGCCTGGTCAGTGCGCGTTGGCGAATCGGAGGAGCCTGGTGGTGCAGGACCAGGTTCGTGACACCCGCTCGCCGCCGACGTCGTCAGCCGTGTTCTTGCATCGTGACCCGTCTCGCGGGGTTCACAGTGGCGTGGCGCGCTAATCACTGCGCCCACCGCTCTCCCCACCCTCCTCTCCCCCTGGCCGTGAACCCATCCCGCCTCGACCGATGCGCGCGCGTCCCCCACGAACAATGGCTGGCGTGTCCTCTCCGCTTTAATCTCCCTGCCGCGCCTTTCATTTCCCATAACATATACCTCTGTGTAAGGCGCTAGCAGCAATAGAGGGGGGGGGGGCGGAGGGAGGTGGTGGAGGTGAGGTGGGGGGGGTAAGGTGGGTGGGTAGAGAGTGGGGGAGGAAGGGGGGGAGCGGTGTGTGGTGGGAGGGATGTGGGGAGAGTTTCATGGTTGGTTGCGACGAAGTGCGAAGGGTTGCTTGGAGGTGTAGCAGCGATAGACCGGCGGTGGTGATGGTACGGGTGGTGGTGGTGCGGGTGGGGAGCGGTGGTGTAGCGGTTAGCGCGCTGCGCTATGAACCCGGTGACCCGGGTTCGATTCCCCCTCATGGCCAACACCAAGTAACGATTATCTGAGCCGGTCCTGGGCCTCCCCTATGTCGACTCAGCCTTAAATTAGTACCTGGTGCGGTGTGTAAACATCGCCACTGGGGAGACAAAGGCGGTCGGGCGTGGTGCTGACCACCCACCCCCTCGTGTACCGTTCCGGCCTTCATAGGTGCTTGCTAACAGCACTTGCACCTACAGTCTGTTAAGGGGCTATATTTGGTGCTAAAGGTGGAACAGAGCGATGGTGGATCGGGTGGGGCTAGTGGAGTGATGATGACGGTGGTGATGTAAGTGGGTTGGTAGTGGCGATCGGGCACCATGGTGGGAGTGCTGATATTGGTGGTAGTAGCGATGGTGATAGGTGGTGGCGGTGGTGGAGGTGGAGGTGATGGTGGATGGGCGTGGTGATGATGGTAATGTTGATCGAAGCGGCGGCGCTGCTGTTGGTGGTGCGAGAATGATCTCAGAGTGGTGGCGCTAATAGACGATGATTGCGATCGTGGGGAACGATAGGCGTTGATTGACAATCAAAACAAACACACACACGCGCGCGCTTACGCGCGGCGTTTACGAGCATTCGAGCGAGCGAGGTCGGGCTGCTACGTCGGAATATAAGAGACGATGTCTCGATAAAGATGTTTAGCAGAAGGGGGAGCATATGGCGCGCCATGATTTAAAATCATAATTACTCGAAATATTGAGTTTTGGCTGGAGGCTAAATGCGTGGAGGCGCCGCACAATGCGAGCGGAGAGCGCCTTAATTGGGCGCCTGATGCAGCGCCAGCGCTGGCTGCTGCGAGCTGCGAGCTCCTGGAAGGATCCCAGAGAGCCGAGTGCGCGTTACGGGGGAGATTTATTAGCGGGAGCAAATTAGTAACCCGAACCTCGAAAACTACTTCGCAAACACCCCTATCGGTGTCTTCCCTAATGAGGGTTCGTCACGACACCGCGATGCGCACGCGGCTCCGTGCGGTTTGTGTCGGCGGAGGAGTGTTGCAACGGGTGAGGGTGGGGGAGCGGCGGCGGCGGCGTCGGCGTCGTGGTTAGCAGCGCTGCGCTCTGTGTGTGTACGTGTACGTCTGTAGATGCGCGCGTGTGTGTGCGCTAGTATACTGTATGTGTGGGGAGCGGTGGTGTAGCAGTTAGCGGCCTGCGCTACGAACCCGCCGACCCGGGTTCGATTCCCGCTCACACCGGTGTGACGATTATCTAAAGCGGTACTGGGCCGTCCCTAGGTCGACTCAGCCTAAAATGAGTCTCTGGTGCGGTGTGTAGTAAACATCGATACTGGGTGAGACAAAAGCAGTCCGGCGTGGTGCTGGCCACCCACCCCCTCGTGTACTGTTCCGGCCTTCATAGGTACTCGCTAACAGCACTTGCCCCTACAGTATGTTAAGGCTATACGGGGGATCTTTGTCTTTGTATATGTGTGGGGAGCGGCAGTGGTGTAGCAGTTAGCGCCCTGCACTACGATCGCGGAAAACAACACCAGTGGCGACTACCTGCACCGGTCCCTCGGCCTTCCCAAGGTCGACTCGGCCTCAAATGAGTACCTGGTGGAGTGTGTAGTAGACATCGCCAAAAGAGAGACGAAGGCGGACGGGCGTGGTGGTGGTCACCCACCACCTCGTAGGCCGTGTCGGCCTTCATAAGGTGTCGCGAACAGCACTTGCCCTAAAAGTTCGTTGAGGCTATCCGGGGGACCTTTGTCTTTGTGTGCGCGCTGCGTGCATTTTATTTGAACTAGACTGCGCCACGGGTTTGATTCCTGGCCCAGGCGAACTTCAATACAATTTGTAATTGCAACACACTTTGCATTTACATGTAAGCGTGTGTGCAAATGTACATTTGTATGTCCTTGTACGTGTTGGCACGGGCGTGTCGGAATAATTCGCGGTGATATCCTTGCGTATGCACGTGTATGCTTAAAAGTTAGTATTTGTATGTGTTCGTATATGTTTGCGTGTGCGTGTTTGCGTATACACGTGTCTTTGTACGCCAGCGGTTAGCGCACTGCGCTGCGAACCCGGCTTACCCGAGTTCAACTCCGGCCGCCAAGACCGGTGACGATTATCTGAACCGGTCCTGAGCCTCCCTTAGGTCGACTCCGCCCTCAAATTGATAACTCGGTGCTACGTGGAAGAATCGTCACCCGGGCGACAAAGGCGTGGAGCTGGCCACGTGTGCCGCCCGGAACCTCCATCAAGCGCTCGCTCGACAGCACTTGTCGCAATATTCTGTGAAAGGCAACGCAGTGGGGGGGGGGGGGGGGGGGGCAGGGGCTAATTCTTTGTCTTTGTGACGCGCGCGCTCTCGCTGAACCACGGCTACACGCCCGCTCGGAACGCGGCATCAGAAATCAACAATTCGGCCGGTATCGCGCGGAACAGCAAACAACGACGAATTAAAGTGACGTTGCGATTGGCGATGTTTTTTTATTGTTGTTACCATCAAAACAATCGCATCATCTCGCGAGTGAATTCCGCGTCATCGGCAGCAGCAGCAGGAGGGGGGGGGGGTTATCTGATCCCGGCGGCTGCAACCGACTCCGGATTTGTGGTTCCATATATAAACACGACGACGAGGACATTAAAGAGTGGCTTTAGCGGTCGACAAGTGGACGTGGATCGCGTGTCAGGCTTGTTGTACGGCACAGCGGTCAGCTCGTGCGGAGTGGTGGAAATAAACGCTCGCTAATGACAGTCTTCGTCGAAATGCGACTCGATAATTCTGTGTGCGTGTGTAATTGTGTGTGTGTGTGTAATTGTGTGTGTGTGTGTAATTGTGTGTGTGTGTAATTGTGCGCGTGTGTGTGTGTGCATGTGTAATTGTGCGCGTGTGTGTGCGTGTGTAATTGTGTGCGTGTGTGTGCGCGGGAGGGGGGGAGTTTGTGTTGTAGTGGTTAGCGCGCACTGCGCTACGGATCCGACCACCCCGAGTTCGATTCTGAAGCAGTCCGAGGCAGTCCTGGGTCTCCCCTAGGTCGACTCAGCTTCGAATGAGCACATTCGCGCCAAGTAATCATCGTCAATCGGAAGACAAAGGCGGTCGACGGTGGTGTTCTGCGTGCCGTACCGGCCTTCATAGGCGCACCATACATAACGTATGTACGTGCCGGCCTTATTAGGCGCACCATACATAACCGAGGTACGTGCCGGCCTTCATAGGCGCATCATACATAACGTAGGTACGTGCCGGCCTTCATAGGTGCACCATACATAACGTAGGTACGTGCTGGCCTTCATAGACGCACCATACATAACGTAGGTACGTGCCGGCCTTCATAGGTGTTCGCTAACAGCGCTCGCCCCAAAAGTCTGTTAAGGGAATACGGGGGATATTTGTCTTTGTATGTTTAAATATATACGTGTGTGTGTTGGTAATAATTTTCATAAACGTGTGAATCAATATACTTAGAGCATATACACACGTATATATAGCTTCTGTGTTACGATGTTCGGAGATCCTTCACAGCAGCTCCACGTCTGTGATGATATCCGTATAACGTTCGCCGGCATCAACAACTGTGTCACGAGCAGCATCACCACGAGTCGTTCGTAAAGTTAAAACAAATTTGTGTTTATTTATTTTTTTGGTTTGGACATAAAATCGCCGCGGCATAGAATCCCCGACAACATTTCGCGTTTCCCTCGCCGCTCGCAGCTCGTCCGTGACGACGCTTGCGGCCGCGCCGCAGGATCGCGCGTCCCCGCTTTACGAACCCGGCGACGCGAGTTCGATTCCCGCTCACGATCAATAAACTGCACGCACATTTGCACCGGTCCTGGAGAGGGGGGTCTTCCCCTCCCCCCCGTCTCCCCTTAGGTCTACGCAGCCGCAAATGCGTAGCTGGTGCAGCGTGCAAACGAACGACGGACACTGCAGCCGACTGGCCGTTGTTTGTAATAGGAGCTCGCGAACCAGCACGTGCTCCGACAGGTTCTGTTAAAAGGCCATACGGAGGAGGGGGGGGGGGGTCATTTGTTAATTCGGCACTTTCTCACAGTTGGCTGCGTACGGTGCGAAAGAAGTTCAACATACGTACGTACATAAGCGCTTATCGGGACATGTATATTAATTGCGACATTCATGCACAGCACACGTGTGAAAATAGTTACGCTTATTCTTGCATTCTATGCTTGCTACGGTCTTCATCCAGCAGTGGACTGATCGTGGCCGATGGTGATATGTATATTATACTGGGCGGTAAAATCAGCGTTGCATAAAACTTGAGGAAACTGTTGTGTGTAAATCAATGCAAGCGTTTGCGTGCACGGATGCGGCTTTTATACTATTCCGTCGAAATATCTAGTATGCACGCGAGAAATTAAAGGTTTTTTGTTAAACATATATAGCAGTGATGCCCTGTGTGCGGCGGGAGTGCAGGATTAAACGTATACATTATTTTATTTAACAATAAAAAAACATGTATCAATTATGTAATAAGAAAACTAATCATCGAATGAGTCTCAATACGCCTTTCCAAGAGGGGCCCTTACCCTTGGGACCTTTGGCCGATTCCGCTAACCCCGAATATGTTTTGCACTCGAGGGTCCGTATCTCAATCCACTGCTGGATGGTTGCCTTCATTTATGCCGTGCCGAGCGGTCACGTGTCTAGTACACACACGATAAATTAAAGATTTGTTGTTGTTAAACATGTGTAGCAGTGATGCCCGGTGTGTGGCGGGAGTGCAGGATTGGAGGCATCAAATTATTTTATTGAACAAAAAATATTGATCAATCATGCATCGCGGGATACAGATCCGATTAAGTCTCGCAGGGGCACGTGCGCGTTCCACCAAATCGCCCGTGAACGCGCCCAATCTCATCAGCGCTCCGAAGCTCGTCCGGGTCGTTCGAAACCTGGTCAAGTCTCTTGGATGGGAATCTTGCGTGGGGAATGCACACAGAGTTGTGTAGGGTGGGTCCGCCGCGGAACACCTGGGGGCGTCACGCTGTGCGAGATCTTAACTACCTCGCCTGGTACGGAGGAGGTGGTGGGTTCGATCCCAATCCCGACGCCTGCTGTACATTTAGAGTTTGCGTGTCTTTCTCTCTCCTCTCCCCGTGGTCGCGTGGATTTTTCTCCGGATCCTCCGTTTTTTTTCCCCCCCGTCCACATTTATGAACGCGCGTTTATATAATATTTGGCTGTTATAAATGTCCACGTCATGAGAAGCCACCTCGTTGAGCGATCATTTGTGGCCAGGTCGCTTCTGAAAAAAAGAGCTCTGCATAGCTGAGTGAGCCTGACCTGGTAAAATACAATACGAGTTTAAACAGTTTAAACAATGCGACAGCAGATCTACTAACCGTTGTCGAGATTTTGGGCGCACGTTATACCGCGCCAATGCTGATTTGCGTGGTGATCTTTCCCTGCGGACACTCAGCTTTACTCGCACGCATTGACAAGCCGAACGCGAATGATCGGGCCGAGAACGCAATTGGCTCAAACATCAGCAAGAGTATAGCGGCAACTTGCTTGAAGACGGCTTTCAGAACGAGGCTTCACTCAATAAATAAACAACAATTTCATCGTCTTCATCTTCCATCGTCAATGCTCGAATGATTTGTTTATTCTGCTCTGTAACTGAATCCCGCTCGTCTCAAGCTCCGCTTGTTCAGCGTGTGTGTTGTATATACGAGCTAGCGCGTGCGTGAGTGTGTGTGTGTACGCACGGCCAACACCGGTGACGATTATCTGAACCGGCATTGGCCCTCGCCTAGGTAGACTCAGCCTCAAACGAGTAACCCGGTGCGCCGTGTAAACATCGCCACTGGGGAAACAAAGGCGGCCGGGCGTGTTTCTGGCCACCCACCCCCTCGCGTGCCGTGCCGGCCTTCATAGGTGCTCGCTAAGAGCACTTGCCCGAACAGTCTGTTCAGGATATACGGGGGATCTTTGTCTTTAATGTGTATGCGGGGAGCGGTAGTGCTAACGGTTAGTGCGCTGCACTACGAACCCCGACGAACCGAGTTCGATTCCCGCTCACAACCAACACCATTGGCGATTATCTGAACCGGTCCTGGGCCTCCCCTAGGTCGACTCAACCTCAAATGAGTACCTGGTGCGGTGCGTAAAAACATCGCCACTGGGGGAGACAAAAGCGGTCGGGCGTGGTGTTGGCCACCCACCCCCTCGTGTACCGTCTCGGCCTTCATAGGTGCTCGCTAACAGCACTTGCCCCTACAGTCTGTTAAGGCTATACGGGGGATCTTTGTCTTTGTGTGCGCGCCTACACAAACAGAGAGACCGCGCGACGGCTGCGCGCTGGCGGCCGCGCCGTCCGTTCCCGAAGCCGGCCAATTACGAGGGGGCGATTTAATATGAGCCCTAATTGCCTTAAAATGTTTACTGCGGAGCGCGGGGCGACCTCCGCACGCCCCGTTTAGCGCCGCTCTGTAACGCAATACTTTTGCCACTCAAAGGAAAGGGCCGCTTGCCCCCTCCTCCTTCCCCTGCCGCGTGTGTGCTCTGTGCTTTCAGGTGTTGCAACTTTTGCGACGTTTGCACCTGCGCGCGCGTGGGGGGCACCACATCCTCGTACAACAGACGCCGCACGGAGAACAAACAATTAAAACGTAATAATGATGATCATAATCGGCCGTCATCATCATCGTCGTCGTTCTCATCACGTGAATATTATTGAGCATCGGATGACATGTTCTAAATAGATGGTCTTTGTACGGCGTTGCATGCGGAGAGGCACGCGGATAAATATTAAGAGAAGTGGGTGGATTGCAGTTAACACGGACGGACACGCACGATGGATGGGAAGCGGTGGCGTAGTGGTTAGCGCGCTGCCCCGCTGTGAATCCGGTTTTAACCAACGCAGCTCCACACAGCCCCCCACCCCCACAATCCCCCCCTCCCCCCACCGCGTATCCCAAAATCACATTTAATCATATATTACTTTCGCTATCATCGTTTTCTTACCAAGGCCATCAAAAGCAACATCAAATAGCTAGAGGACAGTCAATAAACACGACAACCTTTTACAACACACATACGCGGCCTTCTGTCAATTGACTGCTGGATAAAGGTCTCCTCCACTCCGTTCGGTCGTGGAGGTTGACTGACCATGCTTCACCACGCTGGTCAACGCGGGTTGGCGAATGGGGATCGTCTCGAGGACCGGTTAAGATATCACTCGCCGGGAATCTAACCCAGGTCGGCTGAATCACAGGGTGGAATGCGCCGAACAACCATCGTGCCGTCGTCCCTCCATCCCCAA